CGTGGAGTACTGCCGTGTGGGCTGGAGGCCCAAGCGTGAGCGCGGCATGGGAGTGTTAACGGGAATGGAGTGTTGGCCCTGCGCTCGCTTGGGCAACTCCGACAACTTGGTCGGATGTACAGGAGTAGCAGCCGATTGTTCACAGTGGGAGAGCTGCTCGACAGGTTTCGTCGAGCTGCAAGGGACCTCTGTGGTGTTGCTGTCGACCAGGGAGCTCGACAGCTGCAACTGACTAGTCTGGGCAACGGATGGGCCGTCGACCAGGAGTGGCAGTTCGACCAGGGGCAGGCCGTCCACCTGCAGCTCGACCGAAAGCAGTCTGTCGACCTGCAGCTCGACCGGGAGCACTCCGTCGACCTGCAGCTCGACCGGGAGTAGTCTTTCGACCTACGGTTCGACCGGGAGGTCGACGGAGCAGTCCGTCGACCTGACAAGCGAACAGCGGTCGACGAGGGGAGCTCGGCGACAACCGCTGACGGTTCTGGTCGACGGAAGGGGTCCGTCGACCACGGGGTAGCTCGACGGGAGTTGTGGTCGACCAGAGGCACCTGGGGGTCAACCAGGTCGACCGGGTAACCTGCTCGATGGGTTCTGCGTGTCAGAGAACAAGGAGTTAGAAAGTAAGAATGAAGAAAGGAGGGTTTGCACTAGCAGCAGTTGGCATACATATAGGAAACCCTAATTGGGTTGTACTCGCTATAGAGTACCCCACTGCAGGCTAGACAATAATAACATTCTGACACACCCCCATAACCAAAGTGGGGTGTAATCAGCACAATGAGCAAGCATAGCAGTAGTTCACAATTATAAGCAAAGCTAGTCGTAGTCACAGCGGGCAAGTGAGGAGGAGGAGGGAATGTGAGAGGAGAGAAGATGGGAGACGACGGCTGAAGCTGCAGACACACAGGCAACAGGAGCGGCTGGCACAGTGGCTACCGGGACAGCGCCCCGGACTACTGGAGTAACTGGCTCACGGGCTACGAGGAGCTACAGGAGCAACGGACCCACGGGCGACAGGCGCAGCAGACTCTCTGGGCTACCAGGACAGCGCCCCGGACTACAGGTGCTGCGGACGACAAGACGGCAGCCTCCTCTCAGCCTCCCCAAACAGTCCCACCCCCCTGACACACACCCCCTGCAGAAACCCTAGCTTCACTTCCACGTCACCCCCCAAGCTCCACTTCCCGCGGATCCCACACCTCCACCCCCCTCAGCAGCAGCTGCAGCAGTGGGAGACGAACAAGGAGGAGGGGAACACCACACCCCCGTGCTTGCCACCCCACACCCCCCACCACCGCAGAACGGACGGCGGCACGGGAGGAATGGGCAGCACGGGGGGGGGGGGGGGGGGGGACGGGACAGGAGGGGCCGCGCGCTCCTCCCCAGGGCACCACGACGAGTGACGGGAGGGGGGGACGCGCGGCCCCCCAGGGCGCCGCGACGGGCGACAGGAGGGGCGACGCGCGGCCCCCCAGGGCGCCGCGACGGGGCAGCGGGGGGTCGCGCGCGGCTCCCCAGGGCGGCGCGACCGTCGACGGGGCAGCGGGGGGGTCGCGCGCGGCTCCCCAGGGCGGCGCGACCGTCGACGGGGCAGCGGGGGGTTGCGCGCAGTTCCCCAGGGCAGCGCGACGGGACGGCAAGGGCCGCGCGCGCCTCGCCAGGGCGCCACGACGGACGGACGGGGGGCGCGCGCGCGCCTCGACAGGGCGCCACGACGGGACGGAAGGCGCGCGCGCCTCGCCAGGGCGCGCCAGGAAGAAAACGGGCCGCGCGCCCGTAAGAAACCGGGCCGCGCGCCGAACAGGAAAACCGGGAAAAAAAATTCGCCGCGCGCGGAGCGCGCGGCAGGAAGAAAGGGTAGCGCGCCCGGGGCGCGCGACAGCAGTAGAGCAGCGGAAGCATATAGGTGGCGGGCCCACCCACAGGATCGACCCAAGGGGATCGACCTGCTCTGATACCATGTCAGAGAACAAGGAGTTAGAAAGTAAGAATGAAGAAAGGAGGGTTTGCACTAGCAGCAGTTGGCATACATACAGGAAACCCTAATTGGGTTGTACTCACTATAGAGTACCCCACTGCAGGCTAGACAATAATAACATTCTGACACTGCGGAGGCACGCGAACGTCGTCGAGGTCGCGATGGCGAAGGCGACTTCGGGATGGTATCCCGAAGTCGATGTGGCTCATCAGGCGCAAACAACAGCCGACGGATGCCCAACGAGGCAAGTCGGGCCAATCGTCTGCGCGCACCTGCGAGCGTGCGCACTGCTGTGTTCTACGGGGCAACGCTGGACAGCCACTCTACTGCAGCGTTGGCACGCCGTCGACCTGCTCTGCTGTCAGGTCGCCCTTCTGCAGTGCTGGCGCGACTCCTCTACGCAACGCTGGCAGGCGGTCGACCGAGCTGTGGTGGCGATCGACCAGGCTAGCTGCAGGGTTGCTAGGTGCCTGATGTAGTCATTCTGTCATTGCTTGTTAAACCGTTATGTAATTCCAACTTTGCTAGTGAAAACTCTTGCCGATTTCTCCCGTGAATGTGCAAGCACTAAGGAACCAAACAAATCTACGATCACTCCTAGTAGTTCGTGCCAACCTCCGTAGTCTAGCTCACTACCGTTGTAGAGTGAATCTCCGCAAAATGTTCTCGCTTGATTTGCAACTCGTAGGCGAATTCATAACGAGCTTTATGCGAGATGATTAATTTTGCTAGGTCAACCCGATCCGATTGGGTTGGGTCGGGCCGTCCTGGTCGACCCAATCGATCGGGTTAAATTGGGGGGATCCAAACCGTTGGCCCAAATTGCACAAATTTTAAAAGGTTGACGAGGAGGTAGTTCAGTTTTTGCGTTGTGGCAAGAGGATCAATTTCGTGAAATTCGCATTTTTCGCAGCACACAGCCAAACATCGCCTTTCTCCTGGTGGCGGCTTGAAAGTCCCAAATTGCAGCTGCATTTTGTTCACGTTTGCAAGCTACGCAGCATAAAGTTTTAAAAACTTGACCCGCGCGGCTTGCAATTTTGGGACTTGGGCTTTAATCGACAATATAGCCTCCTGGACTTGGAAATTCGAGGTAGATTGGGCTGGATCGAGGCAATCCAACCCCTTCGCAACACGTCCCAAACCCTACGGCTGGCAAAACGCACCTCCATGCATCAAAGGACCCGGTCCCCCCCCAGCAGGGCGATTCCAAAGGATCGCTGTTGCTGCAACCCGGTCAGAAGTGATCCTGCCAATTCAGCATGACGCACCCCGCCCTTATTTATTGCTGACGACGTCGCCGTTTCCACGGAGTTTCTTGTTAGGTCCCGGAAGCCCGACAGCAAGCGCCCTGTGGGATCTGGCCTGTGGAACAAACCGTTTTCCAGACCTGTTGACAAAGCCAAGTACGGGCCTTGAGTAGTGGTGTGGTGGTCACGAAATTAGGGACTTTGTGGCTCCTTTCACGAGAGCTGAACCTGTGTTTCTGGTACGGAGGCGCGATATTTCCAAAGCGCTGTCGCCATCATCGTGAGCTGGCTTTGGCACGTCAGCTCGTTAGCGCCGTACGTGCCTGGTTTGGCAATCCATTGGCACTAGAATTACTGTGCTCCGACATTGTTCGCGCGTGCCAAAACAGCGCTGGTAGGTTCGGGTGAGCGGCTTTGTTCAATGCTTTGTGCCGGGTCGCGACATGTTTCTACTTCCTTGACTTGCTACACAAGAAACGTGTCGGGTTTCGGGTTTATTGAATTGAACTCGCTATTTTTTCCATAATGAGACGGAGTTCCAGAACATCGCGAAAGCTTACCGTATTGTCACTATCTGTTTTGGCACCACGCTCACAAATTGTGTGTCCCCGTTTAAATATTGTCATTCCAATCAATCCTTTGTGGATTTGAAGCTGTTGAACACGTCCTCCTACGAGTTCCCAAAGGGCGGCCAGCACGTTCATTTACAGTTCATTACAGTTCATTCTGAGAGGTCACTCTAGTTTTGTCACGATTTAAATCAACAAATTTTGAAAACCGTTGTGAACCGTTCGGAATCGTTTTGCACCATGACGGATGAACTGTACATTTGTGAAAAACGAACGCGCTGATCCCGCCCTAAACTCTCAAATGTTGGCACACTCCAAGAGTGTGGCTTGGCGTGGAACAGCTCAGCCCATAGCAGTTCCCGGTTCGGCACCCTTCCAAGCCAAACCCCGAAGCTGCCCCGGTTCCCTCTAGCGCGCACCCACTTCTTTCCCTCGTCTTGCTCGATCTATTTGAAGAGAGGCACCACGGCATTTGATTCTCAATTGCACACATTTCTACAGACTCTAGAAATGCAATTTCAACGAGCGTAGATTATCAGAACGCCGACAATACAACAGGAAAACTCTACTGTGCTCGGCCCGTCTCAAGCTTCAACTACGGAGTCTCTTTCGCATTCCCGTGTTAAACACTCACAAGCCCAAGTTAACTCGCGGCGCACTGGTACACTTAGCGGCACTTCTCCGTCGCTTCGTACATTCGGCCAAGGCCTCGCTCTGGGTGAGTGCTCCTGTGCATACCATGTAGTTGCTGTTTAACCATGGGCTGTAATGATGGAGTTAACGCTGTTCTCCACGCTTGGAATGTTCTCTACAATCCAGCTAATCAAATCCGTACGCCGTATTTTCTGCGCGGCGAGACTCACGCTAGTAATGTCGTTCGTTTACTTTCGTTGCGCTTGCAGCTCGCCGGTTTTCATTTCCTCAATATCGTCGTGTCCCCGCTTGATCGAAAGGCGTTTTACTTTTAGGTGTTTCGTGACGTCATTCTTTGCCTTGCTAGTGTGGCATGGCTGTCGAACCGCATTAGCAGTTTCGGTCATGCTTCGTTCAGCTCACTTTCCTACCTTTCCGCCATTCCTCCTTTCCTCCCTCCCTCCCACCCCGCCTCCCTCCCTCACTCCTTCCCTTCCTTCCCGCTCCATCTTTCCGTTCCTCCCTATTTGTTCCCATACTCCCTCGTCTGACCCCGCGCGGCTCCCGCAGTTCCCCATGGGCGCGGATCCCGACACTGAGCGCGGGCCGCCGCCGGTCCTTGCGCCTTCCCCCCCGCCGGCGGAGAGCACGTCCGCGGCGTCCGCGGCGCTCCCGGCGGAACATTCGGCGCAGGATGCGGCGGGAGTTGCGCCAGTTGCAGACGAAAGCTCTCCGCTCTTGGAAGTGGGAGCGCAGGAGCAGGGGGAGGGAGGGTCGGCGGCGAAGGGCGACGGCGAGGAGACGAACCTGGTGGCGGTAACAACGGGGGTGGAAAGCGGGGAGAAAGCGACGGCGGCAACGGCGGCGGAGGAGGCTGAGACGGAGAAAACGGAAAAAGCGGAGAAGGCGGAGGAGGAGAAGGCGGAGAAAGCGGAGGAGAAGGAGAAGGGGGAGAAGGGGGATCCGAAGGAGGGCGCGGAGGCGGCGGGGAGCGTGCCGTACTGGCAGCTGTTCCGTTACGCGGACAAGTGGGACGTGGCGCTCATGGTGGCGGGGTCAGTGGGCGCCATCGCGCAGGGCATCGCGCTGCCGATGATGGCTCTGCTGTTCGGCGACATGATGAACGCGTTCGGGTCGAATACCACCAGCATGGACGCCATGCTCGACCAGGTCGCCAAGGTGGGTGCGGTTTTTTTTTTTTTTTGTGTGTGTGTGTTTTTTTAGGCGTGGCAATAGCTGCTCCTTGGCGACATGATGAACGCGTTCGGGTCGCCAAGGTGGGTCGCTGCTCTTCCTGTTTCTTTTCTGTTTTTTCCTCTCTCTCACTCTCGTTTTTGAGGCGCCTCAATAGTCTCTGCGCGGTGACGTGCGTCTGGCGCCAACGCCACCACCATGGGCGCCATGCTCGACCAGGTCGCCAAGGTGGGTGCGATTCTGTTTTGATTGTTTTGTTTTGTTTTGTTTGTTTTCCTGTATAGTTTCAAGGCGTTTGACAAAATTTGTTGTTCTCCTACCCTTCCCGCCACCCCTTCCCACCGTCAATTCCTCTTCTCCCGTCCGCAGGCATCACTGAACTTCATCTTCCTGGCACTAGCGGCAGGCGTCACGGCGTATATACGTGAGCACACGCCTGGGGGTGGTGCGATCTCAAACATGTTTCTGCTGCACGAGTGCGCGGATGGGGACGCTTGGGGAAGTGTGGGCGAGTTTGGGGGTTAACTGACTCATGGGTGTCAATGTGTCATCACATCATCACGCTGTTCTCTGTTCCGTCCCTCCTCACCCAGAGTTATCCTCAGTCTCCTCTCTGTTCATCATCGTTTCGACTATCACGTGCACACCTCGTCTTCCCCGTGCTCTGCCCATGCCCTTGATGTCCTTCCCCTTCTCCTCCCATTCCCCTTCCCCTTCCCCTTCCCATTCCCATTCCCCTTTCCCTTTGTTCTCCCATCCACCTTCCATCTCCCTCTCCGCCCTTCCGCTTTCCCGCCTTTTCACCTCCCGCTCCCCCTTACCCATCTCCCCTCCCCCTCCCCTTCCCCCTCCCATCAGAGACGGCGTGTTGGATGAGCGCGGGCGAGCGCCAGGCAGCGAGGCTGCGATCACTCTACCTGCAATCGGTGCTGCGGCAGGACGTGGGGTACTTCGACACGAGCCTGTCCACGGGGGAGGTCGTGGGGCACATGTCGGGGGATATCGTGCTGGTTCAGGAGGCCATGGGGGAGAAGGTGGGTGCGGTTGGTGGTTGGGGGGAAGGGGAACGGCGGGTGAGGGGCGAGGAGGGGGGCTAAGGGGATTCTTCGACACGAGCCTGTCTACGGGCGAGGTCGTGGGGCACATGTCGGGGGATATCGTGCTGGTTCAGGAGGCCATGGGGGAGAAGGTGCGCGGATAAGGGCGGGAAGGGGGAGAAGGATGGAGGAAGGGGACGTGGGGGATGGGGGCAAGGCAAGGTAGGTTTGCATTGGCTGTCCTATTGGGGCGAATTGGTTGGGCGCTTTTCGGGGTACTTTTATCGATTGAGTTCGTGCCATCCCCTCCCTTTCTTCTCTTGGAGCCGTCTTTTCTCGGATCACCTCCTCTTTCTTCTCTTTACCATCTCGCCCAGTCAACCACTCTCCACTTTCTCCCAGCTCCCCCATCGCTCTAATCCCCCCAGTTCCTCCCGTTTTTCAATCTCTTCCCCCTCCCCTCCTCCCCGCCAGGTGGCCACATGCATGCAGTTCCTGGCGCAGTTTCTGGGCGGATTCGTGGTGGCATTCATATCGGGCTGGCAGCTAGCTCTGGTCATGCTGGCCACGCTGCCGCTGCTGGCGGTGGCGGGGGGGGTGATCACGGTGGTGGTGCAGCAGTCCACGAGCAAGGGCCAGCAGGCGTACACCGCTGCTGGCACCATCGTGGAGGAGTGTGTGGGGGCCATTCGCACCGTGAGTGCTTCCACTGCACCGAACTGCACCGCACTGCAGCCACAGTGTTGGCACACCACTCGGTGCATTGCTGCTGATTCTGTTGGTATCCTGTGCTCCAAGATGGTCCATCCCATCCCATCATGTCCGCCCATCTGCCTGCCCGTCCTTCTGCCCGTCCCCATCTGCCCGTCCCCACCTGCCCGTCACCACCTACCCCCAATCCCCACAGGTGGCGGCCTTCACAGCGGAGCGCAAGTCAGTCCAAGCGTACGCCGCCCACCTGCACGCGGCTTTCAAGGAGGGCGTGAAGCAGGGCCTGGCGAGCGGGTTCGGCTACGGGCTCACAATCTTTGTCATGTTCTGCTCGTACGCGCTGGCACTGTGGTACGGGTCGAAGCTCATTGCCGACAGCAGCTACACGGGCGGGAAGGTCTTCTCCGTGCTCTTTGGAGTGATCATCGGCGGCATGTGAGTGCTGAGAAGGGGTGTGGGTCATGCCAGGTGTGTCGCGCTGTGGTACGGGTCGAAGCTCATCGCTGACAGGAGCTACACGGGCGGCAAGGTCTTCTCCGTGCTCTTCGGGGTTATAATCGGCGGCATGTGAGTCCCGAAAGATGGGGGTGAGAGGAGCTGGTTGTATGTGGTGTGGTGTGGTGTGGTGTGGTGTGGTGTGGTGTGGTGTGGTGTGGTGGTGTCGTGGTGTTGGGAGCCAAGGTGTAAGCCACACAAGGGGTGACTTGTTAGGGTGAGTTGTGCGGTGTCGTGTCGGGCAGTGTGGTGTGGTGTGGTGGTAAGTCATGCCGTGCCACATCGTGTTGACCCTTCTCTCTCCCCCACTATATCTCCCCCACGCAGGTCCCTCGGCCAGGCCTCCCCCTCCTTCGCAGCATTCGCCTCGGGCCGAGCAGCCGCATACAAGATCTTCCAGGTCATTCAGCGCATCCCCCCTATAGACAGCTCCAACCCCGCCGGCGAAACCCCCCCGGACTCTGAAGTAAAAGGCGAACTCGAGCTTCAAAACATCGTCTTCGCATACCCGTCCCGGCCCGACGTGACCATTTTCAACGGGTTTTCCCTGAAGATCCGGGCAGGGGAGACAGTGGCGCTGGTGGGGGAGAGTGGCAGCGGCAAGTCGACGGTGGTGGCGCTGGTGGAGCGATTCTACGACCCGCAGAGCGGAGCCGTGCTGCTGGACGGCCGCAGCATCGCCGCTCTCAACCTGCGCTGGCTGCGCCAACACATGGGGCTCGTCAGCCAGGAGCCAGCGCTCTTTAATGTGTCAATCCGGGATAATATCGCGTATGGGAAGGGCGGAGGGGAGGCGTGGGGAGGGGGTGGAGGGGGAGAGGGAGAGGGGAAGCTGGGGAGTGGGGTGAGTGATGAGGAGGTGAAGGAGGCGGCGCGGGCGGCAAACATCCACGAGTTTATCGAATCCCTTCCGGATGTAAGCCCACTTCTGAACTTTTGAGTCACCATACCGTACTTGTCAGCATACACTGGGAAGTTCATTGGACCTCATTGGACGCCCGGTTGTCATGAGCTCATTGTCAGCAGACACTCACGAGCTCATTGGACTGGATCCCTTCCACATCGAATCATTCGCTGACAAGGGACATGAGTGCCCCAAGAGCCCCCACCCTCTCTCTCCTTACAACCAATTACTTCGTCTCTAGTTCTCTTCTGTCCTTTCCATTCTTCCCCTTCTTCCTTTATATTTCCCTTTCCCCGCTGCTCCTCATCAGGGCTACAACACTCTTGTGGGCGAGCGCGGCACGCAGCTTTCCGGCGGGCAGAAGCAGCGGGTGGCAATGGCTCCGGCGACCCTCAAGGACCCCTCTTTTCTCCCTTTCCCTTCCCCCCATGCGTCCCTAACCCAGGGCTACAACACTCTAGTGGGCGAGCGTGGCACCCAACTCTCTGGCGGGCAGAAGCAGCGGGTGGCGATCGCGCGGGCGATCCTCAAGGATCCCTCTTTTTTCCCTTTCCCTTTCCCTTTCCCTTTCCCTTCCCCCCATGCGTCCCTAACCCAGGGCTACAACACTCTCGTGGGCGAGCGCGGCACGCAGCTCTCAGGCGGGCAGAAGCAGCGGGTGGCGATCGCGCGGGCGATCCTGAAGGATCCGCGGGTGCTGCTGCTGGACGAGGCGACGTCAGCTTTGGACGCGGAGAGCGAGAAGGTGGTGCAGGCGGCCTTGGAGCGAGTCATGGTCAGCCGCACCACTGTTGTCGTCGCCCACCGCCTCTCCACCGTGCGCGGCGCCGATCGGATCGCTGTGCTGAGCCGAGGGAAGGTGGTGCAGGAGGGGAAGCATGAGGAGCTGATGAAGGAAGGGGGGGCGTATTTGCAGCTGGTGAAGCTGCAGGAGATGGCTGGGAGTGGGAGGGAAGGGGGTGGGGAGGGTGACGGTGAGGGGGAGGGTGGGAAGGTGGAGGGAGAGGGGAAGGGAGCGGGGGTGAGTGGTGGGGAGGAGGGGAAGGCGGGGAAGGAAGGGAGTTCGGAGGAGACCAGTAGCAGCAGCAGTGCTGATGGTGATGAGGATGATGATGACGAGGATGAGGAGGAGGAGACAGAGGGAGAGGGAGAGGGGGGAGAGGAGGAGGCTGCGGAGGCTGGCAAGGGGGACGGCACAGAGACAGACCCAGAGCAGGGCGAGAAGGAAGGCGCAGGAGAGAAGGCCAAGAGGGAGAAAGCGGAGAAGAAGGAGAAGAAGAAGCAGAAGAAGAAGGAGAAGAAGGATAAGAAGAGGAAGATGCGGTCTCCGTTCCTGCGGCTGGCGATGCTGAACAAGCCCGAGTGGCCGTATGCGCTGTCAGGCACGGTGGCAGCAGCGGTGCAGGGCGTCATCCTGCCCTTCTTCGCCCTCATCCTCTCCCGCATCATCACCGTCTTCTACAACCCAGGTGAGCTGGCTGTGCCACAACCCAGGTGAGCTGGCTGTGCTACAACCCAGGTGTGCTGTGCTACAACCCAGGTGTGCTGTGCTACAACCCAGGTGTGCTGTGCTACAACCCAGGTGTGCTTCTGCTGTATGCATCCGAAACATGTTTCCTCACTTCTCTCTCCCCCTTTTGCTTCCACCCATTCCCTCGTTACCTTCCTCCCGCCCTCCTCAAACCCCCTTGCCCCTTCCCCCCTCTTCCAGACAAGGCCAAGATGCGCAGCGACGCGGACTTCTGGTCGCTCATGTTTGTCATTCTCGCCGTGGTGGCGTGGGTGTCCCGCACCCTCCAGACGTTCCTCTTCAGCGTGGCGGGGCAGCACCTCATCTGGCGCATCCGCCGCATGTGCTTCCATTCCGTGCTGCGCCAGGAGATGGCCTGGTTCGACCGCGATGACAACTCCAGGTGAGCAGCATTCCTGCCTTGAGCATCTCAAGCCCGTAGCTTCAAAGCTTCAAGCCTGTAGCCTGGAGGTTTTGTGCCGTGATCCTCGAGAATCAAGCGTCACGCCTCAACCTTACTCAGCAGGACTCGAGCGTCAGAGCTTGCAGCGCCTCATCTGGCGCATCCGCCGCATGTGCTTCCACTCCGTGCTGCGCCAGGAGATGGCCTGGTTCGACCGCGACGAGAACTCCAGGTGAGGTTTACACCCTCTGTAAGCCTCGATCGAACCTCAACCCTCAAGTCGCCGCATGTGCTTCCACTCCGTGCCGTGCTGCGCCAGGAGATGGCCTGGTTCGACCGCGATTGACAACTCCAGGTACACATTCACTACTTCGCACCCTCCGTAAGCCTCAGCCTCGAGTCTCACGCGTCAACCTTCACGCTTCGAGCCTGTAGCTTCATGCTTCACCCTCCTTGAGTCTCCTGCCCTGACTTTCAAGCTTCCGGCTGTGAATTCGGTGGTCCCTCTCTTCCTTCCCTGCCTCTGCTCGCACCTCATGCCTTTCCATCGTTCCTGTTCCCCTCTCGCCCCTTCTCCTTCCCCCAATGCCCCACCGCCCCCCTTCCCTCGTGCCAACCGCAGTGGTGCCATCGGCTCTCGTCTCTCTTACAACGCAACCCACATGCACTCCATTGTGGGCGGCCCCCCTGATTTCCCTTCTCACCCCAATTCTATACCGCCCCCCCTCTTTCCTTTTCCCCCACTCCCAGTGGCGCCATCGGCTCGCGCCTCTCCTCAGACGCCACCCACGTGCACTCCATAGTGGGCGACCGCCTCTCTCTCATTTTCTCTCTCATTTCGTCCTTCCCGCTCCTCCCTTTCCGCCTCTCCCCTCACCGCCCTGCCAACCGCAGTGGCGCCATTGGCTCGCGCCTCTCTTCCGACGCCACCCACGTGCACTCCATAGTGGGCGACCGTCTCTCTCTCGCCGTGCAGAACGCAGCGACGCTCGTGGCGGGGCTCATCCTGGCGTTCTCGTCCTCGTGGATCCTCTCCTTCATCGTGCTCGCCCAGCTGCCGCTCATCGCTGCCGGCTCCATCTTCCAGATGCGCAGCCTGCAGGGCTTTGCTGATGATGCCAAGGTGGGTTGTGGGAGAGGGAGAGGGAGGGGGAAGGGGGAAGGGGGAAGGGGGAAGGGGGAGAGAGAGAAGGGGGTGCGTGGGGGGATGTTGCCGGATCCATCTTCCAGATGCGCAGCCTGCAGGGCTTTGCTGATGATGCCAAGGTGGGTTGTGGGCATCCGGTGGAGTGGGTGCCTTGCCATGTCATGCCATGCCATGCCATGCCATGCCATGCCATGTCATGCCATGCGCACAATGCCACACGAAACCTCAAGGCCTGCACACTTTCTCAACCCCCACCCACCCCCGCATTCCCGAATGAACCCCCCCCTCCTCTCTGTGTCCCCCTGGCAGCAAGCGTACGAGACAGCGACGCGCATAGCATCAGATGCAGTGGGGGCCATGCGCACAGTGTTACTCAAATTGCCTCCCTACCGTTTCTCGCCCCCCATCGATGCCCCCCCTGCCCTCTGGCAGCAAGCGTACGAGACAGCGACGCGCATAGCATCGGATGCAGTGGGCGCCATGCGCACGGTGGCGTCGTTTGCAGCAGAGGGCCGAGTCATGGCTCTCTACCACGCCAGTGTTGTCGCTCCTGTCAAGGCAGGCCTGCGCAAGGCACAGGTACTGGGAAGATGGGGAAAGAGGGGGGGTTAGGAGTGGGGGGGGGGGGGGGAGGGAGTGGAGGAGTGAGCATGGAGGGCTTTGTGATGGTGCTCTTCCGTCGTCTCTGCTTTTGACACGTCTCAAATAATTACCTCAGCTGCCAATAATTACCTCTGAATGTACAGCTGCATACCCCTCCGTTGATTCTCTCTTCAAAACCCTCTTCTGAAGTCTTTCCTCCTCCATGTATCCCCCACTCTCCGCCTTCACACTCCTCCATCGCACTCTACCCTTCCCTTCAACTACCACTCACTCCCCACTCTCTCACCACTCACCTCTCGCTCTCGCTCTCTCCCTCTCTCACCCCACCACAGGTCAGCGGAGCGGGCTTTGGCTTTGGGCAGTTCTGCCTGTTTGCCGTCTACGGCTTCTCCTTCTGGTGCGGCGGGCAGCTCGTCAAGATCGGCCAGGCTGACTTCCAGTCCGTCTTTCAGGTGGGTCCCAGGGTGGTTCTGAGGTGAGTCCTCAGGTGACTCAGGTGACTCCTCAGGTGCTCGTCAGGTCCTCTGGTTTCTCAGATGTCTGCTCCATTGACTTCCTCTGCATTCCAATGCTCAATGTTTTCACCATTCATCTCATCCCTCCCTTGCACCAATCCCCTCTCCCCCCTACCTCTCCCCTCCCCCCCTTTCCCCCCCACCAGTCATTCTTCGCAGTGGTATTCACAGCAATGGGAGTGGCACAAACGGCCAGTCTAGCGCCCGACATGGCGACGGCACAGGCAGCAGTCAAGTCCATCTTCAAGCTGCTGGACCGCCGCTCCCGCATCGACCCCGAGAGGGATGGAGAGGCGCAGACCCCACCCACTCTCCTCTCCCCCCTCCTCCCTCTCCCCTCCCCTCCCTCTCTTACGTTCAACCTTTTCCTCCTCCCATCTCTCTCCCCTCTCCCGGTCCGCCCCCTTTCCCCCCCACCAGTCATTCTTCGCAGTGGTATTCACAGCAATGGGAGTGGCACAGACGGCCAGTCTAGCGCCCGACATGGCGACGGCACAGGCAGCAGTCAAGTCCATCTTCAAGCTGCTGGACCGCCGCTCTCGCATCGACCCCGAGGGGAAGGGGGAGCGCCCGGAGGAGGGCGTGGGGGGCGAGGTGCAGTTTCAGGAAGTGGTGTTTGCATACCCGTCCCGCCCGCACCTCACTGTTCTGCAGGACTTTACACTCACGATTCCGGCTGGCAAGGTGGGTGGGTGGTCAGTGGTAACTCTGAAGCACCATACATCTCACACTTGCAATGTGAAACCACTGCACTCACACCACACGGGTGGGTAGACACATGCCACGCGAGCTGCTTAGAAGAAACACCAACTCCACTCCCTCATCTCCTCAGCTTCGATTATTCACATGCCCATCAACCTTTTGTCCGCTCATGTCGGCCGCTGCATTTGTCAACCTGCTTTTGGCCCATCCTTCCCCTACCTTCCCCTGCAGACGGTGGCACTGGTGGGTGAGAGTGGCAGCGGCAAGTCGACGGTGGTGGCGCTGGTGGAGCGATTCTACGACCCGCAGAGCGGAGCCGTGCTGCTGGACGGCCGCAGCATCGCCGCTCTCAACCTGCGCTGGCTGCGCCAACACATGGGGCTCGTCAGCCAGGAGCCAGCGCTCTTCAACATCTCCATCCGCAACAATATTGCCTACGGCCGCGCAGCCACCTATGTTCCGAGCGGCGGGGCCGCTGCTGGTGATGGTGCTGATGCCGATGGTGCTGGTAAGAAGGGCTGTTGGAGCCTTGGTGACACTAAGGGGACCCGGGATTCGAGGCGCAGCCGTGATTTCAGGATGAGTAGGGAGAGTGCGGGGAGTGGTGCGGATGGGAGGGAGGAGGAGGAAGAGGAGCTGGAAGCAGTGACTGAGACTGAGATTGTTGAAGCTGCCAAGTCTGCCAATGCCCATGCATTCATTTCCTCTCTCCCCGAGGCATATGATACCCTGGTAGGGGAGAGGGGCACCCAGCTGAGTGGGGGGCAGAAGCAGCGGGTGGCGATAGCGCGGGCGATCCTGAAGGACCCGCGGGTGCTGCTGCTGGACGAGGCGACGTCAGCTTTGGACGCGGAGAGCGAGAAGGTGGTGCAGGCGGCGCTCGAGCGAGTCATGATCGGCCGCACCACCGTTGTCGTCGCCCACCGCCTCTCCACCGTGCGAAGTGCAGACTGCATTGTTGTGATGCAGAAGGGGCGGGTGGTGGAGCAGGGTACCCATGACGAGCTTCTTGCAAAGAAGGGCGCGTATCACCTGTTGGTGTCAGCGCAACGGTAGTAGGGCACTTCACATGCGACTTGTTACTGGATGTTGAAAATTTGATGGTATGGGTTTTGTAGTGTTCTGGGGGTAGCAGAGTGGAGGGTTCGGTAAAAATGCCATCTGATACGGGTGTGGGGATTGTGGGGAAGGAGTTGAGACCATGGCATAACAGTCCTTTCGGGGATCTAATTAGTTTGGTATTGCATTGTCATTAATGTCATTCTGTATGTTATTGCCTTTAGCATCGCATAAGAAGAGTGTTTCATAATGAACCTTTTGAATTCTTTACCATGAGCCACTCCACAACGTTTAGGGAGTGGAGTGGAACATCCTTTGTTGGAGTATGTTTCATATGTCGAGGTGACTCCCAAGATGGTTTAATTAGACCCCTCATTTTGAGCCTCTGCTCGAGTTATTCCTCACGCAGAAATTATCATCCATCGTGTGTACAAAATTCTGCTGGTTCCTTGGAAATCACATTCTCAAATAATGTTTTCCTATTTGTCTTAGCTATCATTATTTCATAGGTGGTGTACTTACTCCTTTAACGAATGTGCACTATCAGCTTTTACAAGAATGGATGCTAGTCCTTCCAGGCCGTAGTTCTCGTGAACCTTTCAGTGGTTTGGGAAGTGTCACCTGGTTTCTGAGGTCGTAGGTCACCTGAATTCTGATTTTTTAGTTCAGTTGGTGGATCTGGGAGTGTCACCTGGTTCAGAATCCCGTTGGGAGAGTGTGCTTCAGTTTCCGTGAACGCAAACTCGAGAATCTGGAAGCGCAAGCAAGCTGAGTACAGTACAGTCTTCGCAATGTGGTTTATCTAATTTACACGCAGTTGTCGCTAGGTGCAGCGACTGTTTTTGTTTTACGCAAAAAAGGTTTTACATTTTTTCACATTATATTCTGTAGCCCAAAATGTTCCTTTTACAGTAGAAAGCAAGGTTAGTATTCACGGTCATGAACAGCGCGTTTTTGTTTCTGGGCAGTAGCCTGTAAAGCCTCAACACATCAGTTGCTGTACCCCTGAATTTACTCCACTCCACCTGCTCACCTGGCATCCACTTCGATCAATTCCTCCCAGCTGGACACTGGACTGGCGTGGGCTTGAGCAGGTGATTCACGAAACTCTGCGGGGCCTAAGTAAGGGCCCCCCATGGATTCCGCGCCGCAGGTAATGTTTGTCTGCAAAGATAAAGACACTTATATTTCGATTATGGAAAACAACAATAAAAGACAGCTAGGCGACACTTTCAGGGTGTTACCACTTCGTACGTTCTCAAAACACGACAGCAACGTAACAGTGAGCCCTTACTCGTTGCCGACCTCATGCCACTACTGGTCGCATTATGCATACCTGTCTCAATCACAACAGTTTTCCAAGTGCAGCTAAACGATACCTTCTACTTTTGTTCTATTACACTTGATTTGCTGTTTTAAAACGGCCGCTCTCTTCGTTCACACACATCCCACGGTCTTCCTCACACTGTTCCCCTGCTTCTGACGTACATTTGAGAGGTCCACTCTCCTCTCTCTTCCTTCCCACCTGCTCATTGGACCTTGAGTGGACTTCATCGGACACACTACACTACAATTCCTCCCCTACTAACGCGTTTCCCATTCCTACAGTTGGGTTTCACTCCGCGTGATTGTCTCGGGAGTTGACGTGATAGGACGCCTCAATTCACCTGACATCCACCCTGTTACTCCAAAGCAAGCACCCTATCAGTTCCCCAGTTCCCCACAAGTGTTTCTTTCAGCCCGTTTTGACTACTCTGGGATCTCGTTGTTGCAAAACCTTAGCTCGTCAAGCCTGACCAACAACTACTGCGGTCTATTGTTATCGACATCGTCTCCAAAATGGAACGTTGGCTGCGGTCAAACCGCGCTGTAGCGTCCTCCCTCGTAATCGTCGTCCTCCTTTCTGTCACCTCTATCCACACCGCCTACGCCGATGTCTGCCCGAAATTTACCTGCGGCCAAGGTAACTTCCTTTACGGAAAGTTCACCGATCGTGTCGACCCGCTGGAAGAGCCGGAGCCGCTTGTCGAAGCGTATTTCACAGGTGGCCAGATGTACAACTACGATTCGTACAACATCAGCGACGAAACTATTGCTGACGCTAACACCGACTGCTACAAGTTCTGCTCTGGATGGAACGCGAAACGCAAGCCGGGCGAGGTGAAGGCCAAGTACTGGATGTTCGAGGAGACGTGTCTGGAGGCGACGGGGGGGATTTGCACGTGTTTCGCGTCAACGCAGTGCAACGGGCCGAACTCGTACAGCAGCAAGTGGATGGAGGCGGGCAGAAGGGTTAATGGCGACTACGAGGTGCCGGCGAATTTCACGGCGGGCGAGCTCTGCGAGCCGGGTCACAAGGGCGACCCTCATTTCAGCGGCGCGGACGGCTCGCACTTCGATTTCAGCGGCAAGCCGAATCGGAACTATGCGATCGTCTCGGATCTGCATTTGCAAGTGAATGGGTATTTCGGAGGAAGGTACACCGCGTGGGGATCGAGGCTCAAGGCGCTGACGTGGATCCGTGACGTCAGCGTGATGCACGGGCACCACACTGTGGTTTTGGAGGCGCGCAAGGGGGCGGAGTTCGATTATAACGAAGGATATTTGGCACGAGTGTTGGTCGACGGGAAACCCGTTCAAGTTAAGGCGCCTGGAACATCGCTGACTCTTTGGGAAGGAGCTACACTCACGTGGGTCTACGCGCGGCAACAAAACGGAGACGACTATGTCGATGTTTTCGATCTTGCGGTGGACGGTGTGGCGACCATTCGGCTAACTCTGCGGCCAGAGGTTGAGACATGGAGAACGCCGAAAGACGGCACGGTGCATTTCGGTTTGGAGGTGTTGGACGCGCATTTCTCCCCCGCCGTGCATGGCGTCCTGGGTCAAACATACCGCCAGGACTTCGCCGGAAGACTGTAAGTTGCAATATCTTTTTGCTTCTTTCAACTTATTGATCTATGATGTCATCTGGTGTTTCGAGGCTCGTGAGTTACGTTGCTCGCGCCTCTCCTGTCTTGGTCCATTTTGCTGATGTATCTTCCCTTGGATTTTTTGGCTCTGCAGTGCTGAGCAAAAGCTGGAGTGGAGCGACCTTCTCCAAGTGATGGCTGTCCCAGGTGACAATGCCGAGGGGTTCTTGTACGGAGGGGTTGATGATTACCAGGTGTCGGGCCTTCTGAAATCGGATTGCAAGATGTGCACGTTTACCCGAGCGGAGAATGTAGACAAAGAAACCACCATTGCGCTGGCGATGATGGGAGGTGTTTCAGGAGGTGGTATTTCCGCCACCACTCCCAGGAAAGCGCTCAAACCTCTCGCTGTTGCTTCTGGGGATGCATCCAGTTAAAGCCGTGATGGAACTATGAAAGGTTTATGACTGCTTCTGGTTTCCAGCAAGGAAGATTTGGCGTGTTTCAGGGATAGGTAAACGCTTCCTTCAAGCTGGAAGTGGTTGTTGTGTCTGTAAGTTGATACTAAAATACGAATGTCTCATAATCCTAATAAACGCTGAGCATACAGTATGCACAACATGAAGTCTACTTCTATTAGCTTGCGCTGCATGAGGTTAGAGATTTGGCTGCAGAGTCTAGGCTGGGGGCATTACAGCCCGTCTAGAATGGGCAAGGCCTCAGAATAGGTATTAAACTTGAAACTGGTTGGGCGAAGGGTGACGAGAGCAGATTCGCCTGAAACAGGAGGTGAAGGTGGAATGGTACACAGTGTAACTTGAATCCTAAACCGGTCAGACAGAAAAACAAGCTAATCTGGCTTGGCACGAAGAAAATTGAATCTGATCATTCGACACCTTGCCTCGTTGGTGGACGAGTGCAGCTGCAGTCTCAGTGAAATTCGCGGGGCAGATCGTGTCAAGCACATCATTGGGGGGCAGATGGTGTCCAAACATTTGTTCCGCGCTGATGAAACTGGAGAACTAGGAACATAAAAATTAGTTCATAACTTTCTACATGTATTGTACACTTACAGCAGACAAAACTACATTTGTATACAAGCACGGGAGCCCGTTATTTAGAAGCTCTGTGCGAGGTATTTGCGAGGAGCGGCGGGCAGGCCTCCGCCGACGGCGCTGCCCATCATGTTCATGGCGATGGACATCTCCTCGTCCACGGCGTGGGCGCGCGTGAAGCGGCACATCTTGCAGTCTGCCTTGAGCAGGTCCGTCACCTCGTAGTCGTCCATGTTTCCATCGATGAAGCCCTCCGCGTTGTCGCCCGGCACCACCATCACCTGCAGCAGGTCGCTCCACTGCAGCCTCTGCTGGGACCTGGAGAAAACAGCCGGAAATAAACGCAGGAGAGTGGAAACCGCATAAGAGCCCACGAACACGCAAAAGGCAAGCAATCGAAAAAACACACGGCGCGTAGGCAGAGAGGCGCGAGGAATTTGTTTTTACTTACAGGCGGCCCTGGAAGTCGGGGCGGAACGTCTGACCGAGCACGCCGTGCACGGCCTTGGAGAAGGACGAGGAGAGCACGTCGAGGCCGAAGTGCACGGCGGCGTCCGTGGCGGTGCGGAGGTTCTTGACCTCGGGCCTGAGCGTGAGGCGGATGGTGGCGACGCCGTCGATCTTCACGTCGTACACGTCCACAAGGTCCGTTCCGCTCAGCATGCGCTCAGCCTCCCACTTGAGCGTCGCGCCGTCCCACAGCTGCACCGTCGTGCCGGGCACAGTCAGCTCCACCGCCACGCCGTCAGCCACCACTCGCGCCAGGTACCCGTTGCCGTACTCCGCCTCCGCGCCGCGCCGCGCCTCCAGAACCACCGTGTGGTGGCCCGCCATCAGCCCCACAGACCGGATCCACGTCAGCGCCTTCACGTCGCCGTTCCACCGGCTGTAGCGCCCGCCGAAGAAGCCGTTCATCTGGAAGTGCGGGTCCGACACCAGCGCGTAGTTGCGGTTCGGCTTCCCGCTGAAGTCGAAGTGCGACCCGTCGGCGCCCGTGAAATGCGGGTCGCCCTTATCCTTGCCCTCGCAC